AAAAACAACAAATAAAGAAATAAAATATAAAAGAAAAAAAAGGAAAACTTTAAGGTTAACTTTTAAGGATATATGGTGTAGTTTGGGGGGATTGTCTCAAAAAATTTTGAGATGTTATAGTAATTTGTTTTCTTACAAGACTCTGTTTTCCAAACATTATATAATAACATTACATTTGTGTACATTAACTTTTAAATATGAAATTTTGTTCTTTAAAAATTCTTAGGTTTGGAGTTGCCTTGTCCTGTGCCTTTTTCTTTCCTTGTGTGGATGCTGCCAGGCTCCCTTCATGCTCTGGTCCGCCATCTTCTTGAGACCAACACCATGGCTGAATTGTTAGAAGTACTAAATTACTGACCTGCTTTGCAGCTGTAGAATCTAAAATGAATCCCTATATATTCTGTTGCAGACCTGTGGATCATGCCACAATTGGCCATCAATTAAGTTACAAAGTTCTAATGGGGAGATATTTGAAGTTGATGTAGAAATTGCCAAACAATCTGTGACAATCAAGACCATGTTGGAAGATCTGGGAATGGATGGTGAAGAAGATGATGACCCAGTTGTTCTACCAAATGTTAATGCAGCAATATTAAAAAAAGGTCATTCAGTAGTGCACACACCAGAAGGATGACCCTCCTCCTCTTGAGGATGATGAGAACAAAGAAAAGTGAACAGAAGATATCCCCATTTGGGACCAAGAATTCCTGAAAGTTGACCAAGGATCACTTTTGTGAACTTATTCTGGCTGTGAACTACTTAGACATCAAAGTTTGCTTGATGTTACGGGCAAGACTGTTGCCAATATGATCAAGGGAAAAACTCCTGAGGAGATATGCAAAACCTTCAATATCAAACATGACTTCACTGAAGAGGAGGAAGCCCAGGTATGCAAAGAGAACGGGTGATGTGAAGGGAAGTGGAATGTTGTACCTGACACTATAACACTATAAGGATTGTTCCAAATACTAGTTGCACTACTCTGTTTATAATTGTTAATGTTAGACAAACCGTAGACAAATGCAGCAGCAAATCAATCTATTAGCATAATATTGTGCTTATTGCCTGTGTAGTTTGAGTACAGACTCCAAACCTATGGCTGAATTTCTTCTAGTATGAGAAAAAGTTTATGTTTTCTTTACTCTAAATAAAATCGAACTGTGGGTTCTCTGTAGAAAGTGTCATTTTGGGCTTTCCCTGTTTTTGTAAGGCGATTTTTGCCAAGTTTATTGTCCAGTTTACTTTGGTGAGCTTTTAAAAGTTGACATTGTAAATAAAACAACTTGCAAACATTTTCTGAAATAGGGAAAAAAAACCAAAAACAAAAACATAACTTATGTTCTACTTTAGTGAATTAAGGTAATAAGGTAAGAATAGACTTTTTAAAATTAGTGCATTAAAATTATATAATAGGAGATTAATTGTAATATATTTGTCATACATATAACATAATACAGTCTATTTTAATAAAAGTTGAACTTTTGCTTTGTTATTTAAATATTAGGAAGCTTCAAATACACTGAAGTTGCTTTTTGTTAAAGCCACTGAGGCATTTCTCCATTTTTACAACTTGTTTTCATATCTATTATTCAGTACCAAACCATCTTCATTTTAACCTTTTCAAAGAAGTTTGGGGAGGGGAGGGCCAGAATGTGTTTTCTATTCCTAGTTGTTTTCTCTTAGAGTGTTCGGCTAAATCTGGCAGAAGCAGCCATGTAGTAAATATTCTTTTTAATGAGGCACAATGAAAATTAGAATTCATTAGGTGGTAAGCCCAGAAAATTAAGTCTTTCCTTTCAACTGTTATATTCTGGCAGAATCTAAAAAAATAATTTCCTTTATTTCTTACAGATTCTATTAATTTCTTTTGTGGATCAGCCCAGTACAAAGATAGCATCTCTAAAAAGCATGTGATTAAATTGTTAAAAGGAAATGACCTCCTAAATTGCTGACCTGGGTTGCAGCTGGAGCCTCTAAAATGAGTCCCTCTGGATTCTGTTGCAGAACCTATGGATTATGCCACAATTGGCTATGCATAAGCAAGTTAGGCAGGATACTCTAACACCTTATGTTCTCGGGTATAAATATGACTAAGTGCCAATTCAAATTTAGTTTTCTCTTTTAAGAGCATGTAAACCCATTCCATGGGATTATAGACAAAAAGGAAATCAGAAACTAGAATACAGCAACCTTCAGAGTGTTCACAAAAACTCATGCAGTTGCAGAGTCAAATCACTTATCATTTACAAATAAAGATACTACTGACATTGTCAACACAGACAATACATACTCTAATCAAAACATGCTCTTGAACTTCAGGATTCTTCGATTTACAGAATTTTTATATTTTAGACCATCTCAAGTGACCAATTTGGTAATACCTAATCTGAGTGCACCCTGTTTACAAAACAGTTGCTCATGGGCACTTTTGTTTCTCTCTTTGGTGATACTCTCAATTTAGAAACTGGTGATGATCTGTGTTTTAAAAAGTCCCGTATTGCTTATGTCTGAATCAGTGGTAGATACTTACTCTAATCTTGTCCAATTTTGTTTGCTCATTTTACAGGTTTTTAAATTTCCCAGTGATTCAGTGGGTGGGTTAGAACCTTTTTTAAATACCAACTCAGCCCCAATAAGTTAAAGGTGACATTCAAAACCACAGCCATTTCACCGGTGATAACCAGAAGGCCTGGCTTTCATTTTTACAATTAACCACCTGTGATAAGCACTTGTGTTGACAAGCAGGCTGCCAACACATTACAAAGTGGTGACACATCCTATCAGCAGTCTGACACCACTCCTCTGTGAACAATTCCCTATAGACAAAGTGTTTGGTTCTCTTAAGGAATCAACATTTATTTCAATATTCCGGGGAATTTTTCCTTATCGCTACTAAAAATATTATGGAATATGTAATAGCATATCTTCAGTAACCTCTGATTTCTCTTTTCTGTAACTAATAAAACACTAAAGCTGTTTCATAATTATTTTTTCATAATTACTTTTAAAGTTGAGAAACAGTGGCATTTGTCCTTTAGAAGGTTGTTTTGAAGGAGGTAATATTGTAATAATCCTGTTAAAAAAATTTTCATGGGTTGGGGATGTGGCTCAAGCAGTAGCGCGCTCGCCTGGCTTGCGTGCGGCACTGGGTTCGACCCTCAGCACCACATACAAACAAAGATGTTGTGTCCGCTGAAAGAAACCTAAAAAATAAATATTAAAAAATCCTCTCTCTCTCTCCCTCAAAAAAAAAAAATTCTCATCTTACCCTTCATTCCATTGTCATAGTGACTTCAATAATATCCTTCGCAGTTGATGCTCAAATGATATTCATTGATTTGATAACTCAAAAGATTTCTTTTCTTTTAGAATGGTTATATATTTACAAATACCCCCAAAGATACGAGAATGAGTAGCCTGTTTTGTTCTTTTCCCCCCGATTTTAAACACTGAAAAAATGTTCGAAAGAAAAAATTTTTCTGAAGAAGAATGCAGTAAGCTCCATGGTGGACAGGCTTTTTTTTCTTTTTCTTTTTTTTCTGATTGAGCCCAAATTTAATCTTGAACTCATTGGAAACAGTCTATTCTTAGGTGTATTTGGCTGTGTTTTGGATAAAAGCATAATAGAGTTATTTCAACTGATTGCTCTTATTTCATAGACTTCATTGGTTTTCTCTAAGGTACTGACTACTCTAGATTATAGCATTTTATCCACATTTTAACCCTTTCCTACATGCTCTAAATATCTATTCATGCTTCTTTTCTTTGTCTTAATATGTCTTTGAGATTCTTTTTCTTTTTGATGCTTGATCACTAAATTAACTTGCATGTTAAATCATTTATTTTATCTCTACAAAAATATTATAGAATATGCAAAAATATTATAGAATATTACACAATATGTAATAGCATATTTTCTGCACAGACAATACATATTCTGTGTACATCTACAGAGGACTACGTATTTACATCTACAGGGGACCAATTATGGCATTTTGATTTCATGGTACTGAATGTGTAAAGCTTTGAAAAGAAGAACGGTTTTAAAAAAGAGGACTCTAAAACTGTTTTTCTGAGTTGTTGGACCAATGATACTTTTATTGTTCAAATGTAAAAATGAAATTTGACAAAGTTTAAATTGATCATATGCTTACTTACAGCTCTTGTTTTCCTGGGTACTTCCAGAGGTGTGAGAACCAAGCACCTTGGTTTTTAAGAAAATGTCTGAGAAGCGACAGGGTAGAAGCGATATTGGATGGTGTTTATAAACATGGAGTGTTGAGTTGACTGTCCTGGGTTTAAATTCTGGTAGTACCATTTATTAACTGTATGACATTTGCCTTCTCTTTGTCTTACAGTTTTCACATGTGAGATGGAAAACAAGCCTTCCCATAGTACCTGCCTAGGTACAGTAGTAAGGATTAAATGAGATAATGGCTTTTAAATGTAGTATGCAGCAATCTCTCAATATATATTCCTAATCATCAGAGTTGTTGTATGCTATTATAATTATTCTACTTCTGCCTGGACTTGTAGGAAATTTGTGCAGGACTCCATATTCACTGAAAGGGCATGCCAGTGTGTGTAAATCTGACCTTGGGATTCAATCCCTTACTACATCTGAGGATTGAAGCTTGGTTCTTGTGCAATTCCACAGCCCTCAGGTAAACAGTATTTCTCCCTCAGTTGCTCTTAAAAGAGAATGTAGTTTAGAACTCACAAGGCTGTAAGCATTCTTGGTGCAGGTCTAGGTTTTTCTTTATGGGACTAAACATATCACCTTGATATTCTTATCTGAAAAAGTCAAAGCAGCTGCTTTCCTACAGAAAGAAGAAAACATTTTTGCAGAGTGAAGTGAAAAAATGTACTACTCTCTGCTTCTTCCCACAGTATCCATAAATATGCTGAGGGAGTTTATTTTGCCAGATGGTTTTGTGACTCTGCTGAAACAAGAGATGCCCTCATTTTATATTTCCCTCAAATTCTGCCACAAACCACACTCGGGAGGAAGAAAAAAAAAAAAGTCGCCATGTAAGCATGCTTACCTTTGACTGCTGAGGAAGTTGAGACACCCATAAATGATGACTCAACATCGCAGGCCTATAAAAGTAAAGGTATTTGCCAGTGGAAAGGCAGAAGACTCCAGGCACAGCCATTCAAGATGCACCCAGGTGTCCTGGCTGCCTTCCTCCTCTTGAGCTGGACTCACTGTCGGGCCCTGCCCCTCCCCAGTGGTGATGATGATGAAGACTTGTCTGAGGAAGACCTCCAGTTTGCAGAGGTAGAGTAACTTACCCATCCTGAGGATGTAGCCCAGCTCTTAAATTCCTTCTCCTTTTAAAACCAGCTCATTTGGGTCTCTTTTTCAGCACTACTTGAAATCTTATTACCATCCTTCAAATCTTGCGGGAATCCTGAAGAAGAATGCAGCAAGCTCCATGGTCGACAGGCTCCGAGAAATGCAGTCTTTCTTCGGCTTAGAGGTGACGGGCAAACTGGACGATAGCACCTTAGATATCATGAAAAAACCAAGATGCGGGGTCCCTGATGTGGGCGAATACAATGTTTTCCCTCGGACTCTCAAATGGTCCCAAACGAATTTAACCTACAGGTAAATGACAGACTACATTTCCTTGATATTTGCTAGTTTTTTCTTCTGGTAGTAAATGTCTAATATTAAGTCGACCTTAAATATTTAATTGGAAGTTAAGTAGGTCTAGAAATGGCTTTAAGACTGCTGCTGGGAATGTCTCATAACATCAATAATTGTAATGTTATAATCCAACATTACTTTTCAGGGAACATCTCAAAACCAAAATAAAAGTAAAAATAAATTCAATAAAACTTGCAAAAATAGGACATCAGTCGCATTTATTATCATAGAGCTAAAGATAAAAGGTTCCACTCTTGTTAGAAGTTTTACAGAGGTATTTTATTTAATTTGGCTATATTGATATAATTCCAAACTTTTAGCATGCAAAATAAGTTCTATTATATGTCTGAATACTTTAAGAAGCCACATGGTCAAACATATGGAGATGCTCAGATATCTAATTGAATTCTTAACTTTTTATCCTTGGATATCACCATAACTAATAAATTCTACCTATAGTAGAACTTTTAAAAAATACATTGCATTTTAGTTGAAAAGCAATGTTCCAAGAAAGTGTATTGTAAAATAGCTATAACTTTCCAAAATTTAATTGAAACTTTCTCTGTTGAATAGAATTGTGAATTATACCCCTGATATGACTCATTCTGAAGTGGAGAAGGCATTTAAAAAAGCCTTCAAAGTATGGTCCGATGTGACACCTTTGAATTTTACCAGACTCCATGATGGCACAGCAGACATCATGATCTCTTTTGGAACTAAAGGTAATGAGGCAGAATCATTTCTGAAATGTTTTTATATTCTAATCCTTAATCGGTTCTATTTTTATTCCTTCTTCTAGTCATTCATTAAGTTTATAGCATTTAACAAAAGTTGAGCAAGCACCTGTGCCAGGTTCTACTGGGCATGCTCAGATTCTGACTCTCCCTTTTGTTTGTAGAGCATGGAGACTTCTACCCATTTGATGGACCCTCTGGTCTGCTGGCTCATGCTTTTCCTCCTGGACCAAACTATGGAGGAGATGCCCATTTTGATGATGATGAAGACTGGACCAGTAGTTCTAAAGGTAATGTTTTTTTATACAGATGAATTAATGTATTATTAGATTACACACTGAACATATTCCTACAAAGTGAAGAAGCATAAAATAAATTGTATTTAGCATTTGATTATATTTTCTAAAATAAATAAATAAAAACAATCTTATTCTTGTTAGTATCTCTACAAGAGACATTTCTACAAATAAATTGTGAATGTGAAAAAATGGATAAAATGTATTACTTTATCATCCTGATTTGAGGGATACTAACTTAGAAGTCTGACTAAAATGTCTTCTCTGTCAGCAAAGGAAATTTTATTGTGGGTTCCCTTTTTTGCATGCTGAAGAAGTATAGTTTACATAAATTTATATCTAAAAGTCATTAGGACTCCATCTATGGGTCATAACTGAATTGCATGGGAATTGAAATAGATTTTTCCTTTGTAGAAATATTAATGACATGAATTCAGACAACTTTCTATTCCTTATTGCATGAGTTACTTGCTTCATATTTGCCTACAGCACTCATTTTATAAACACTGCTTTGAGAAATCAAGATAATATCTTTAAATGCACTGAGACAGATAAGATGAAGGATGTATTTACAAGAGGAAAATGAAACGGATTGTGGAATGCATTTATTTAGTCATTGAATCTTCAAAGCTCAAATTAATTACAATGCAAATTTAGGAAGAAAAATCACAGAATTTTTCAAAGAGAGTTTAATTTTGGAACTAGAGAGATTCTAATTTAGGGCAACTAGAGGCAGTCTTTATAGACAGCTGATTTTTATTTTTCATTGAAATATAAAGGATTATTTTTCCCAAGTAAAACTGGGCCTTAAATGATCAGTGTCTCAACACCAGTGCCTCTAAAGGAAAGAGTGAAAATTCACATATTCACATATTTGAGTATTTCATAGGTGAGAATGACCTTAGGAAGAAAGAACAACACTAACTAGTGTTAAGACAGAGTTACAGTAAGACTCAGATTTAGATTCCTATATAAGTTCTGCATTTGAAACATATATAACTGAAATAAATGAAAACTTCCACAAATAAATCTGGAATAAGTTTTCAGTTGAAGGCCAAGAAAGGTATGCATTACTGGTCACTTTAGTAAAGAACTACTTATTTAGATCATGTGACCTCTGTATGTGTATGTGCAGAATTTACTAACTTAGTTCAGTCTCTTCATGTACAGGCTGTGATAACAGGGTATTTAAGGTAGAACTGAAATTACTGGCTCCAGCTTTCATGTATTCTAAGCAGGAGTAAATATCCCTATTGCCTTACACATCTTATTTTTCTTTTAATGTTTATTGTCCTTTTTCTCCCCTATCTAAAGTATCAATATTAGGAAGCTAAAAATTGATAAAAAGAATGTCTAGAGGAAACCATGACAACAGTGACATACTCATATTCTAGAGTACAGGGGAAATGCTCAATCATACATAGTTTCTGGTATTATAAACTCTATGGTCTAGATAAATTCTGGAAAGGATCATTTGGTTGGAATTTGTTCCCAAGTGTATACTCAGAGACCCTAGTTGATGTGTTCTCTATACTTGGTCATTATCTCTTGGATGCTGACTCCTGTTTGGATGCTGTTCTAGACTGCATATTAGCTAGGCAAGGCTCTATGTGATTTCCCTACTTCTAATTTAAGGTAATTTCTGTCCACTTTCCTCCCCTGGCCTAAGAATAAAAATAGCATATCAGGATTCCTATTGTATTCACAGTAAATCCTTATGGACTAATAAGTATATGAGAGCAATCTGTTGATATTGCTGTAGGTAACTGATTAATTATGTAGGCAACTATAATCAAAGAGAACCATAAATTATTAATAAAGATTATATCAATACTTTGAATTTTTCTTCAAGCCACTGAATATTAATTTTTAAAAGTGAACAAGATAATGAAGAAAGAGAAAAGTAAGATGGAAAAAATATTTCTTTCATTGACTGAAATTCCTTTTTTTCTCACTGTTTCTTTGTTTTCTTACAGGCTACAACTTGTTTCTTGTAGCTGCCCATGAGTTTGGTCACTCCTTAGGTCTTGACCACTCCAAGGACCCAGGAGCCCTCATGTTTCCCATCTACACCTACACTGGAAAAAGCCATTTCATGCTTCCTGATGATGATGTACAAGGAATCCAGTCTCTCTATGGTGACTTAATTTATCAGCTATAAAAACAGAATAGGATTAGTTATAAAATTAGTTACATAAGTAGAATAGATGCATGCATTGTTTTCTTTCTAAATTGTCCAAGGAGAAAATATTCCATTCTCTATGCTTTTTTGCATAATATAATTTCTGTATTTGTATTTTATACATTGTCAGGTACATTAGATACCCTCAAAATACCTCTACCATGAAAAATGAAAATATTTTATTTCCCATTTAACCAATAAAGCAACTAAGCCTGTTAGAGTTTAGTATACCTATAGTAACACAGTTGATGGTGAAAGCAGTTATAAATTCTTGATATTTTTTTCAACTAGTCTAATTGCCATAGTAGAAATAACTCTTGTGAACTTCAGTAGTTTTTAACCAATAATTTCAATGACAATGAAGAAATTCCACCTTTTATTCTTCTAATTTTTCCATAATATTTACAAAACATTTAAATCTTAACCAAAACATTTATTTATAGATTACCTGCCATAAATAGAATGAAAGCCACCATGCAGTCATTAGTGTAAACATATCTGGAGCAAAGAGCTCAGAAAACTTGCTCACGTCTCCTCAATCCATAATTCCTCCCCACCCCAGATTTAAATTTACTATTATAGCTAGTGTAAGCGAAGGCAAGAACTTGAAGGTGGCCAATGGAATTTTCCATTTTATTTTGCAATTTTTATTTTTACTATATTGTGAATAAGGGACTGGTAATAAAATTAGATAAAACACTGTAGGGTTACTGCTGTGCACTGCTGTGTGAGCTGGTGGAAGAGTTATAACCATGTGCAAATCACATCAGACTTGCTGCAGGCTGGCTTGTCACTGAGATGCAATGCACTGTGGCAAACTGGTGACCCAACATAAGCTGATGTTGACAGTTGATAAAATAGTCAGGAGAAGGAGCCGCTTTGAGAGCGATTACAGGCATAGCATGCCATCAGAAATGGCTTTAAGAGAAATATGTTTCTCAAGAACAGTTTGTCAATTGGTGATACAAACTATAGAGGAAGTTTTCTCAGTCTTTTGCTTTTTTCTCATATCTATCAGATAAAAAATTTAATTTGTAGTTCAGCTGAGTTTGAAGGTTTGTTGAAGGATGAAAGCAGAGAGGTAGTCCCCCTGCAAGACCTTGGTAACCCTGGAGAAAGGAGGTAGGATTACCATTATGTAGGAGCTTTAGGACTTACTGCGCTCCTTGGAGGGAATCCATTCTTGCTCTCCATAAGCAGGATCAGACTGTTGTGCTGTGACTCAGGTCACCAGGAGGGGTCATACTCAGCAGCTTCTCCCATTTATTTCACAACTGCAGGTCCAGGAGATGAAGATCCCAACCCTAAACATCCCAAAACACCAGACAAATGTGACCCCTCCTTATCCCTTGATGCCATTACCAGTCTCCGAGGAGAAACAATGATCTTTAAAGACAGGTACTCTTGAGAGTCTTTCATCAAATCTGTATGTGATAAACATTTGCATGGTCATGTTTGCAAACTGCCAAAACATCCAGTCAAACATCTAGAGTCTAACAGGGAAAATAATAGACTTTTGGGCAGTTTATTTACATGTTGCAGATCCAATAAATGATTGATGAATAGACACTTTCCTTTCCAATGGATAATCCTAACATTGAGCAGCTTCTTTTACATCTTTGGTTATCTTTCTTATAAAGACAACAAAGTAAAGTAAGTAATCCAATTTATTTGAAAAACAGACAGATACTGAGAGTAATTACTGAATTAGTAAAATGTTACTAATTAATGTTCATAAGAATTCCTCTTGGTATGGAAAGACTTTGATTTCAGATACCTAGGTTGGAATTTGAGAGGGGGAATGCTTTGCAACCTAAACTTATAGATATGAACATTGAAATATTAATTTTCAATTTCTAAATTGTTGTATGATGCTCATTTGTTTATCTGTTCACTAATCCGTTAGCTGCCCCCTCATTTTGATCCTACAGCATTCCCACCACCTTTCATACAACTCTAATTACATTGTGCTCTGGTGCTTTCTCACATTATCAGTGAGATAATGTGAAAACTACATGGAACTACATGGAAGACATAGCTTGTGTATTCATGTTTTTTTTTTTTTTCTAAAGCCCAACACAGTGCCTGGCATATTGCTTGCCACTTGCAAGATTTACAAAACAAGAAAAAAGCACCATGTCAACCCACAAAAGACTCAGAGCTTTCACTAAAGTTCTGTGACATTTTAAACTTGAATACCTTAGGTTAGCATTAGGATAACCAAAACTTAAAACTACCCTTAAAGGAATATGGAACTTTTTCCCCTTCACAGGTGCTAGGGGACAGTTGTGTTAATTGTGTTGATGTGGAGAGAGTTGGCTTGCAGGATAGAAATATTGCACTTAAAATATGATAGAAAATTATGTCTTTCTATTCTTGTGCTAGATTCTTTTGGCGCCTGCACCCTCAGCAGGTTGATGCAGAGCTGTTTTTGACAAAATCATTTTGGCCAGAACTTCCCAATCGTGTTGATGCTGCATATGAACATCCTTCTCACGACCTTATATTCATCTTCCGAGGTAAGCCATCCAAGGTGAGGCCTTCCACATGACCAGGGGAGACAGTGATAGACCTGAGACTTACTAAAATGATCACTACCAGAAATACACCTAAATTAAGGATCAGATGAAAACCAAAAACCACCTGACCATTCTACCAAATATCCCTAAATTTGATATGCAAGAGTTCTATCTTATTAGCTATCGTATCTATTTGCATCATATCCATAATTTCAATTTTTTTTTCTCTTGGTTTCTCTTAAAAGTTGCTTACTGGGGGCTGGAGAGGTGGCTCAGTGGTAGATCTCTTGCTGAGGCTTCCATCATTAGCACTGAAAAAAAAATATCTATATATTGCTTACTGAGAAACCATAACATTGTACATTTTGAAAAAGTGAAAAAATGTTAACTATAATTCCCCTTTCTGTAAACAAGTTCATTTTATTATGTTCTCACTTTCTTTTCTAGTCCTTCACCATATTTAATACATATTGTTTACATATTTGGTTTCAAAGCATAGATACGGGTTTAAATTCTACTTATTCTGTTGATATAAAATCATGAAAAATTTCCAAATTGCTATTCTGTCTTCATGACCACAATTTAATGCTATGTTTATCTAACATTCTACTCGCATTATTTTTATTATTTGACTACTATAACTAATGTAATAATGAAGTTACTTTTTAGAGAAAGAAATAACTTTCTAACTGGTATAAAATATGTATTTTCAATTTACTATTGTGCTGTATAGTCAAACAAGAATTTTTTACCCAACTCTAAACAATATTCAGAGGTAATAAATTGCCAAATTAATTTTGATATCTGGTTGGCTATATTCAGAACTAGGAAGTTAGGGTCTTAAACACTAATTTTTATTGGAATAATGCTTATATCTCTATGTTTCATTAACACTGTGACCATGAACACTGAATATTTTATTTCTGAAATATAGTATTTTTTTTTTTAAGTAAATGTCCACACGTGTGAGTCCTAATAGATTTTCCTTACACTAAAACTGTTTTTTTTCACTACTTCTAGGTAGAAAATTTTGGGCTCTTAATGGTTATGACATTCTGGAAGGTTATCCCCAAAAAATATCTGAACTAGGTTTTCCAAAAGAGGTTAAGAAGATAAGTGCTGCTGTTCATTTTGAGGACACGGGCAAGACCCTCTTCTTCTCGGGAAACCAGGTCTGGAGGTAAGACAACAATATGCACTGTCCCATCTTGTGTAATGGGGACAAAGCAAGCCTCAAACATCTGCCACTACTCTAAGTTATTATCTCACCATATTATTTTAAATTTCATACCAGTCACTCATTTCTGTTCCATGTAAGCTCCTGCACGGGCTCCAGACATGTTTAAAATCTGAATTTCTCTTAAATACACACACTCTACCCACCTCTTCTCAACCGCTCTTTTCTTTCTTAGCCATTTATTATGCCTCAACCATGGCAAACTGCTACTTTTACTTTGGTATCTTTATTCTTTTTAATCTTTTACCTGGACTCTCTTTCTAATTTATAAGTGGTTCTATTTTCAGGGGTTAGAGAGGACTCCAGAATGGGTACAGGTAATGATTAATTGAGAAAAGGCTCCATGTTTGTAGAATCAGCTGATCCACTAGAGAGGGTGATCAGTAAGCTGATGGGCCCATAGTTTGTAAAGTCAAATTTCTGAAGAGAAAATGGAACTGGAATATTTACAACATATTTAAAGGTTCAGGCAGCACTGAGAAACATTTAGGAGCCCAGATCCATTTCTACAATGGGGAATGACAATATATCAAGGAACTCCACACTCGAAATATTTAGAATGGATGCTTTATTCTATTTCTACATACACACAGGCACACACACATGCACAACTATACGCTATATACATCTTCCTGTGTGTATCATCTTTGTCTTTTGAATTATTTTTTTCTGATAATTAAATTTGTACCTCTCTAAAAATTACTGACAGCTTCTATCTGGCACAACTTTCCATTTCCTACACTCTGGAAAACTCTATGGTTCAGTCAGGACGAATTGCTTATCAGATCTCAAATATACTGTGCTTTTATATCCCCCTCAGCTTCTCTTACATAATTTTCTTCCTTTCATCTCTCCCTCTTAAAACTCTAACTATCTGAAATATTTGAAGTATTATTTTGTCTACAGAATTTTTGAGCACCCTACTCAGAGGTTATCTCCCCTTTTCCTGTACAGTCATGACATTTTCTGTTTACTCTCTTATGGTGCTTAACACTTAACTTATAATGCTTACCTTATAATGCCTGGTGTTGAGCTGGGGATGCAGCTTAGAGGCAGAGCATTGCTTAACGTAACAAAGCCATAGGTTCCAACCCCAGTAACACACACACACACACAAAGAGCCTGATGCTGTAATTGTGTGTATATGTCATATGTCTAAGCTTTCTTGATGGGTCAGGAATTCTTACCATTTACCTATTAGGATATACTTCAAGGATATAAAAGGCTCCCATCAGTAACAATAGCACCTTAAGGGATAATATTTTTTTAGGTTAATTTCAGAATGTATTCTGTTGGCCAGGGTGTGGTGGTGACAGGGAAGAAGAAATGTAGAATATACAGTTATGCATGGGGAAACCTATTCTCTCCTTTCAATCTTTACTACCATAAGCCCTTATAACATTTTAGAGCTGAATTTAAACTTCAAATATTTTTATATCCATTACTGTATTTAGCAAGTTATTTTACACATATTAGAAGATCAATAGATAATTATTCAATGAATATATTTATTCAATGAAATATATTTTTTCATTCTAAGAATGCCATCCTAATGACATGCTTCTATAACAGGTACAAAATTTGTAAAGTGGAAATAAGCTTGCAATTATCCTTACAAAGATGACCTTTAAAAAGGTCAACAAATACTCATCAAGCATTCATTACTAATTAAAAAGAAACTATCAGATATTTTAAAACTTGTCCATTCTGAAAGGTACCATTGAATCCATTGTATTATATCTAAAATTGTTTTGTTTTGAGGTGGGTTCTCCCTATGTTGCCCAGGCTGACCTTGAACTTGAGATCCTCCTGCTTCAGTCTCCCAAGTAGCTGGAATTGCATGTTTTCACCTCTTCAATGGGCTTAAATCATTTTTAAGAACTAGAATTTACTTAAGAATTTCTTTTTCTTATTAAATAGATATGATGATACTAATCATATCATGGACAAAGACTATCCCAGACTGATAGAGGAGGAATTCCCAGGAATTGGCGATAAAGTGGATGCTGTATATGAGAAAAATGGTAATTATTACATTGCATTAAACTTCAACAAGAGCTTCTGCAGCTCCTTAAAACTCTTTTCTGTATGAAGGGTTTTAATATAGGACTTAGATGTGCTATTAAATATATGGCAGTTAACTCATTAATTATTCTTGAGTGACTACTTACACAGAGCACAAACAAAAAAAATAAGTTGCTTAGAAAAAAATGAAAATTTTAATTATTGCTAATTCTGTAAAAAAGTCATGCCAAACCCTATATATTACCTTAAATTATATGTAAAAATGCCAAGATGGAAAGGATGTTGCCAGAATTTAAACTAGGAATGGAGTGGGGGTAATTTATAAATAAAGGCTCATAATAACCAATAATTTATATGACTTTTTGCTTTAATTACGAAAGGAAGTATTGTCCCTAACTTACAACCAATAACTAATATAAGTATTTCTAGCACCGAAATTGGAATTCATGGTAAGACAATGAATTCTAGGTGGTATTTTAGAAGATCTGAGAACATTTATCCCTTTTCTTTTAAACTTATAAGCAAGACATTAAAATGTTAGTAGGATTTAAAAAGATAAAAATTGCAATGTTAAAGATAATTCAACTCTAACAGATTGGACATTTAAGATTAGCTGTAGTAAAACCTTTTTATTTTCAAACTTTGAAATTTCCCTTATGGTCTTTTTCTTGTAGGTTATATTTATTTTTTCAATGGACCCATACAGTTCGAATATAGCATCTGGAGTAACCGTATTGTTCGTGTCATGCCAGCAAATTCATTACTGTGGTGTTAAGTGTCTTTAAACATTGTTATTTAAATCCTGGAGATCACTTTGGATAATATTTCCAGAAATGTGGGGCAAGGGAGGACAGCTTCGTTCTGTGAACAAGCTTTCATAAGTTATCTTTGAGCATTTATTATGTATATGACTGTGCGTGGCTGGAACCACATTGAAGAATTTTGAAGTAATGAAGTCGAGTACCTCCAAGGATCACCTGATTTCTGTGTGCTCTATAGCAGCAACAGTTGATGGTATTTCCCACACCAAAAGTGGGAATATGGTGTGTCACTGAGATTATAAAGTAAATCACATATAATTATGAATCATCTTTATTACAATGTACAAAATAGTATAAACATGAACATTTTGAGAAGTGTATCATAGAAATAAAGGGAAATGCCAGTAATAGACTTGTAGACAACTTTCCAAAGAAATAATTTGGGTTTTACACTGAGAATATTCATATGTACATGTCCCTCTTTATACAAACATTAAGAAAATATCAAAGTTACTAAAGAAAGGAGACAAAGACTAATAAGAGGACCATAGATGCAGCTTTGGATTTTGTTTAATTTTCGCTTTTGGCAATGGATTGCTTTCAGATAAGACAAATATTCCTCTGTGTATTGATAGAAGATCAAGAAAGAAGGTCTCTCTTTTTATTAAAACATTTTGGGGCTTTGCAAAGTCACAAAGTAAAAAATTAAAACTGTTATCAAAATAATTTAGGTGATAGCATTATGTTTGCATAAATCACTTGATTATTTAAGACTCAAATTTATGTTTCAATCATATTTTAACTAATTATTTTAATTGTCCAGTTTACCTTGGACATATAGGCTCTTTTCTAAAGACTTAACTAGCAAGGAATAAAATATATCTTACAAATTGGAAGTATTTATGTTAAAACAGAGACATCCAAAATAAGGAAAATAGTGTACTAGACTGTGATCCTCTTGAGATATGGGACTGTGTTGTTTTTCTCTGCTTTTTTTTCCCAATTCTTCAGCACTTGGCAGGGCACTGAGTACTTGCTGAATACATGAGTGGCCCCCAGAGGAAGAACTATTGTGCTGAGAAATCTTGTTCATAAAAACTCAGGCAGAAAAATGAAATATGTATTTGCACAATGTATTATAATGTGTTAATGTTGTTTCTAATAAAAAGATATTTTCAACAGACATTTTTATATGGTATATTTTATTTTTAAGTATAATTTTAAGCTTTCCTCACAAAATAATTTATTATCAATATTTCTTGGTGAATGCAGTTTACTCTCTCCACCCTCTCAGAATTTAAATTTAAAATTAATTGTACTGGGCTATGTCAAAGTTCTGATAGAGTTTGCTCAGCACGGTGCTGATGAGACCATTCCTTCTGGGCCAGCTTCCCTAGATGAAGCACACAACTCCTCAGTATCCTCCTTGCTGACAGTATTTGGCAACTAAGTGGAAAGAGCTTCAGTTAGGAAGATTCAGTTCTACTTCTCGCTCTGCCTTGAATTCTGCCCTGTGACTTTATACAGGTTATTTCATCTCTGTGGGCCTTACCTTTCTTATCTGTAAAAGGAGAGGATTGAAAGCTGTGGTGAATTTGGGGAAATATGGAGAGGCAGGAAACTCTGGAGGCAGGCAAGAGAACCCAGGTCCCCCTTGGGAAATTCAAGTCCCTTCTGTTTTCCTAAGTTTTTCCCATTTGCAAACATTTAATACATTTCTGTTAAGTGTCATTCACTAGCAAAACAAAACAAAAAACAAAACCTTGATCTGTACTCCCCGAAAAGCTTATACATTACTGTGAAGACAAAACTGCAAGATGACCAATTCAGTAAGTCAGGTGCTCTGTTGGGGAGCAGGGAGCACTCACTATGGGGGAAGAATGAATTGCTGATGTCTTCTTTATGGTGTACCTCAAAAATAATCTGCATACTTTTCATTTTCCCTGACAATGTAACAGAATTCTTTATTTCTAAGTTTTGCTGTTAGGGTATAACATAGTCCATCCATCCATCCATCCATCCATCCATTTATCCACCAGTCCATCTAACAAAAATCAAATGGACGGCTGGGGACATAACTCAGGGCAGAATACTTGCCTAACATGCACGAGGCCCTATATTCAATACTGAGTAGCACCAAAAAAAAAAAAAAAAAGTTTGGAAGCTGGGTGCAGTGTTGCAAAAGGTTGGAGATGTAGCTCAGTGGTAAAGTTCCCCTGTTTTCAATCTCCAGTGCCTTGCCCCTTCCCCCACCCCCCAAAATCAACTGGACACCTGTCCACCTGTCCTGTGTCAGGAATTTAAGTAGAAGTTGAGGAAATAGTGAAGAACAAAACCTCCTTAGTTTTTTGGAACTCAGTCTAGTTGGAAGCACAAACATTAATGAAATAAGTATGTGTTTAAACTGCGGTAGGTGCCAAAAAGAATAGATACATGGTATTCTGAGAGCCTCTAACAAGAGGGACTTTATTGTATTTATGGGACATGGGGGTCAAGGGCAAAGGAGGTGGTTCAGGAAAGGTTTCGCACAGAAGAGGTTCCTGAGCTAATGTAAAAGTGAGAGGTTAACTGGGCCAGTGAAGGCCATCAGGGAGAGGGCTCAGGGCCCAGTGCTCCTGACTGGAATGGTTTCTTGGAGCCTAGTAAGGAATTATAGGGGTGCTTCATGATGATTTTGGCAGAGTGTGAATTTGTAAATTATACCAAGAAAGCACCCACTACAACCATGTTTATCCTATCCTTCAAGTCAGTCGCAATGCCAAATGTAAATCAGTGAATCTCTGACAAGTAAAGGGATAAAAACATATTGATTTTAAAGCCTGTAAGTTCAAATAAAAATAGCATGGGTCCTTCTAGGCAGGATGTGTAAGTCTAGTTCCTGATAACTGAGTCAGTTGACGGAAACATTAACTATTTTTGAGTGTATGGATCTGAAACATGATTGGGCCCCTGTCTCTGTAAGAGCGTCGGGAGATCCTTTCCTGGTAAAAGCTGTTCTCTTGATCTAGAACTCAGTGAATTTTCTTTTCTTTTTAAAAATTTATTTATTTATTTATTTGTTTTTGCATTAAAATTCTTTTTTTTGCATTACAATTCTTAATACACCATTATACCATATTTATCATATCTCTGATTATATATAAGGTATGTTGACACCAAATTCACATCTTCATACATGTATTTTGTATAATGATGAGGGTCTCCTTTCACCATCCATACTATTGCCCTTCTCCCTCCCTTTCCCTCCCACCTCTATTCCCTATCTAGAGGTAATCTTCCTCCCTTGCTCTCCCTCCCAAGCCCATCTCTAGCAATCAGATAAATGCAAATTATAACTACTCTAAGACACCACCTCACTCCAGTAAGAGTGGCAGCCATTATGAAGACAAACAACAACAAGTTTTGGCGAGGATGCGGGGGAAAAGGTACACTCATACACTGCTGGTGGGACTGCAAATTGGTGCAGCCAATTTGGAAAGCAGTATGGATATTCCTTGGAAAACTGGGAATGGAACCACCATTTGACCCAGCTATTCCTCTTCTCAGACTATACCCAAAGGACCTAAAAACAGCATATTACAGGGACACAGCCACATCAATGTTTATAGCAGCACAATTCACAATAGCTAAACTGTGGAGCCAACCTAGATGTCCTTCAGTGGATGAATAGATTAAAAAAATGTGGCATTTATACACAATGGAATATTACTCAGCAATAAAAAAGAGTAAGATCACGGCATTTGCAGGGAAATGGATGGCATTAGAGAAGATTATGCTAAGTGAAGGTAGCCAATCCCCCCAAAACAAATGCCGAATGTCTTCTCTGATATAGAACCCAGTGAATTTTCCTGGTGTTGTATAAGGCCACTCACTGTCTTTGGCCCTAGTCTCAGGCAGATAACATACCTCTCAGGGAAACTCTGGGAGGATGATTTCCAGTTTCCTCCTGTAGAGGAAAGGCTCCTTCAGCAAAATTCTTCTCAAAGTGTGTTCTGAAGGCCAGTGCATCAGCATCACCCAGGCACTTGTCAGAGATGCACATTCTGTGTCATCCCAGAACTGCTAGATGAGGAACTCTGGTTTGGAATCAAACAATCTGGTTTTAGAAAGTCCTTCAGGTCCCTCAGGTCCCACAGTTCCTTAGGAACTGTCAAGGGAAGTGCTACTTGTTGGGAGTTTCTGAGAGAGATTTTACAGCTATTACTGGGGACCAAATCTTCTTAGTAAGAGCATGGGGAACTCTGTGCTCTGCACTCCTTCCAGAAGACTCATGGTGCATGCTAGCATATGTGTATGCAATCCAAAGTCACAGAAACTGTGTATCAGGTTTCCCAGATGCATTGAACATGGAGCATCATTTACTTTCTATGTTAGCATTCTCCAGAGGAATATATATATATATATAATATATCTTCTAAGAGGGGGTTGGGGCTCCGGCTCAGCAATAGAGTTCGATTCTCAGCACCACATATAAATAAATAAACTAAAGGTCTATCAAGAACTAAAAAATATTTTTAAAAAACTTATAAGAGGGGATTTATCATGTTGACTAATGTGGTCGGAGGCTGAATAGTCCCACAATGGCTATCTGCAGGCTTGACAGTTGGAGAAACTGTACAGTTTGGAAAACTGTAGCTCAGTTCAAGAAGCTGGAAGCCTCAGATCAAGAAGAACAAATGACGTAACCCCAGTCCGAGGCTGAAGGCCTGGAGGCCATCTGGAGAGTTGCAGGTGCAAGTCCACATTCAAAGGTGAGAATTACGGAGTCCAATGTTTATGGACGATGGCAGCAGCAGAAACACACACCCTCACGAAAAGCCAATAGTATGTGCATATGCAGCGTCCCCTTCTTCCCCTTGTTGTTCCATCCAGGCCCCTCACTATAGGATGGTGTTGTCCACCTGCAGGGCCATTTTTCCTACTCAGTCTGCTGACCCACATGTCAATCATCTCTGGAGACACTCTCACAGACACACCCAGCAGTGTGCTTTACCAGTCTTACAGGTGTCTCTCAATCCAGTCAAGTTAACAACCAAGATTAACCATTGTACTTTATTTTTCTCTTATTTTAGAAAGATATTTAATTTGATTTCAGAAAACTTTTCCTTATTTGCTTTATCATTTGCTGTCACTCTTAGAGATATCCCTATGATAAAGAGTGACATAGATACAGATATAAATATATAAAGTCAGGATACTTTCTTGACCCCCAATCTCAATTCCAAATTCTCAATATGACTAGAGTTACCTACATCAGTGTTATTCCACTGTGGCCAATCATAAAATTCAAAAAAATGATCAATATCTATTTGGAGTTTACCACTGGGGGCCGTTGTGGTTTTTAAAGAGAGCACCTTGTAAGTTAAGCAGAGTATCCTAATAGAATCTTCTGTGAAATAACTAACAGGTTAAAAACAGAAAGGCTATTCTCACAGATGTTCTTAAATGGGGTGAGAAGGCCAAATGAACATTTTATGAGACATGATACTATATCCTCAGAACTAGTATACTGGGCAAATGTGATAGACTCAAATTGAATAACACTAACAATTTCATCTTCATAATCTAATGAGAATTAAAAGTTTGAAGGGTTTCTCAATGTTTAACAATATCCAGAATGTATTTGAAATAGGAGAAACTGATAAGATTTTATACTGGTAGAACAAATTATGTCCTTGGAATTATCCTGAAGAACTTCCATAATAGATTTAAAATATTGTCCTGTAACTCCTTATCCTCATTGTAGAGTCAAAACACCAAAACATATATAATAGACCTTGTAAAAAGATAGCTATATACCAAATTTTTAAAAAAATTTTTTATTGTTGGTTGTTCAAAACATTACATAGTTCTTGATATATCATATTTCACACTTTGATTCAAGTGGGTTATGAACTCCCATTTTTACCCCATATACAGATTGCAGAATCACATCAGTTACACATCCACTGATTTACATATTGCCATACTAGTGTCTGTTGTGTTCTGCTGCCTTTCCTATCCTCTACTATCCCCCCTCCCCTCCCCTCCCCTCCCCTCTTCTCTCTCTGCCTCCTCTACTGTCATTCATTTGTCCCCCCTTGTATTATTTTTCCCTTTCCCCTCACTTCCTCTTGTATCTACATACCAAATTTAAGCCCTGGTCACAGAAGTTATCTTGAGTTTAAGGATTTGTCAG